AAATCCAAATTCGATTAAGGGATTAATTAAGTAATTAAACCTATTTCAATTTGGAATTTAATTCCTTAAATTCCTAAAATTCAATAGTCGGGGACTAGTAATTGATTAGTCAACCACAAAGTCAAAGTTGTACCTTGAGCTTTGTAAGGAGTTCCCATGTTTCCTTACACCTCTTTATGTTAGTAAGGGTATTCTTGACCTTTCACCTTGTGTTAGTATTCTAACCTAACCTAGTAAGAACACCCTCATTTCTTTCCTTACACATTCCAAATTCTAGCTCCACCTTCTCTCTAAAAAGGTGGATAGCTTTTTTTCCAAGCCAAGTTGAAGCTTTGCCTAGACTTCAAGAGTTGTCTCCAAGATTCTACCTTTCATACATTTGGGCATCTAGGAGGGTAAGATCCATGTTCATCTTGTGTTTTTAGTGTTTTCTTAGGTGTCTTTTCTTAAAGATAGAATCTTTATGATCTTTTGGTGTATTATTGAAGTGGGTTTGGAAGGTGAGCTTTGATAGGAGCTTGGTGAGGTGTTAAGTAAAGGTTTTTGGTCTACAAGAGGTAACCCATGCTCTACAAAATCTATTTTGGCTTACCTATATGAATATTTCTTGGATTCTACATGTGTTTTGCTATGAAATGTGAGTGTTTATGCATTGTCTTGTTAAAATGCATATCTAGAGCTTGTGTTTAGGGTTCTTGTATGCCATTGCTTGGCTATTCCTTTGATTCAAGTCATTTTGTTGTATTTGGTGAGATTTGGCATGTTTTGGACTTGAATTTGAGTTTGGAGATGAAAATCCCCGAAGGGATTTATTTTGGTACAATGTGTACCCGCGGGCGGAACGGCGGGTAGGAGGTCCTCCCGTCGCCCACCCGCGGGGTACAGGCTGCTTGTGGGTTAAGTACCCGCGGGCGGAACCGCGGGTAGGGGCCTACCCGTGGGTCCACCCGCGGGGTACAGTATATGGTTGTTGGGGAATTTGTTCCCCGTGATTCTTTTGACTTGGTATTTGGTCTTTTGACTTCCCGATGTTCTTTTGTGGAACTATTTGAGTGTCATCTTGAAGTTTCGTATGTCTAGAACTATATGGTAGGAATCCGTGTAGATTTTGGTGTCTTGAATCGTGCTAAGTGTTTAACATTGTGTTTCGTTGAACCGTGATGAGTCTTGTGTGTTCTTCGGAACTACGTTTGGTTTACCCGTTTGATTAGCATGCTAGTTCGGTGTTTAAATACTAGCATGTGTGTTGTTTGTACATTCCGTTGGTTGATGATAACTTGTGTTATTCATCGTTGTTGTTGTTGGGCGGTGACCCATTCTTTGATTGAGTATGGTTTCATATCTGGATTGCACGATTAGTAGTATGGGACACTAGTCACCAAGGTATTGTAGTGGTCCTCGTGGTGGCCATGACGTGATTATGGAGTTGTGACCATTGTGTAAGGTTCATGTATTTCTTGGGAGGCATGTGTTGCCGTGTGTGTGATCGGTACCCTTGTGTACTATGAAATTGGTGGTTTTGTTGGCGGTCTTTGGCGGATGGGGACGACGGTCCTCGGAGGGAAAAGGTTGGACTTGGGGTACAGGGGTCCTGGAGGTAATGGTTGGAAAAAGATATAAGGTTAGGGGTAGCCATAAGGTTGGAACCGGGTATAAGGAACGCATATCAACTCGTGATGGGTGATGTCACGAGGGCTTGTGTAGCTGTTGTTGTGAGTTCTCTTCTTGTGACGTATGTAGTCACAAAGGCATGTGTTGCCTTGGCATGTGTTGCCGTTTGGTGTGTCCTTCTTCCTTTGAGTTATGCATGTCGAGTATTAATCTATTGTGTGACGATAGATTATACCTTGATACTTCTTGTGAGTCGTTGTTGTTCTTGGTAGTCTTAGGATGTGTTCCCGTATTCTTGTTGAGAGTGTTGAGTCGTGTGTTGACTATTACTCTTTGTTTTGGACTTATATATACATATTCTGTTTCGCAAATGATTTTACAAATGTATATCTTATCTATGTATGATATTTCACAGGTAATGGTGGGTTACCAGCATTATTCGCTGACCGGGCGTCGTTCCATGTTTTAAATGCTTCTTTCAGGTGAAGCTTAGACGAGTGCGCGGTTTAGTGCCAGCTAGTTTAGCTCCCCTTGATTGCTATAATCTGCAAGTGCACAGAGTCAATCACAGTATAAATTCCTGGAGTATTCCAGGGTCGATCCCACGAAGAACACTATCGAATTGTTGATAAGGAAAATCTCAAATAAATAGAATTAATGTGATTAAAAAGAATATTTATGAATTTAATGCAAAGAAAATTCCAATTGAGAGAAAACTAGGGATTTGGGATTCACCTATTAGATAATTAACTAACTCTCCTAAATATTAATTCTTGTAATTATAGTGATGATTGCTCCAATTATACCCTAATACTCCGTCGAGCTACTAGGTTGTATCCAATTAACTGTGATCATCCGTCGATATCTCACCAACATTAATTGAACCCATTAAGCAACAATCAAATCTCACCACAAATACCTAAAGCTATATCTAGTCTAGGTCAATTGTGTTTATCTTACGAGATCTAGGTTCATAATTCACCTGTCAGTTCTTCTTATAAACCCTGATATTAGAATTATGCAATGGCCAGTCACACAATCCACAAATAACATACATAAAATAAATATAATCCAGTTAAATCATTAAACTGAAATTGGAAGAATTAACACATGAAAAATAGTCAATTAATCTAATCTAGGCTAATTCAAATTCCTAATTAAAGTTCTAGCCAAGAATCATAGTTAAATGCATAAATTGTTCAACAGATAATACTCTGGAAATTTGAACAAGAATAAGAATAGATACGGAAGAAAGTAATTCAAGCCTAGAGAAGCGATAGCCGCAATTGAAGCACAGAAATCTCCTGCGATGAAGTCTCGAATGTCTTCTGCCTCCTTTCCTCGCCGAAGACCCCTACTGCTTCTCTCCAGGCTTTCGTTTTTTTCCTTCGCCCTCTTTTTTCTTTCTGCTCCCATCTACCGCCGTACGCACCCCAAACCTAAAACTATTTATAAAGGGTTCTTTTTCCCTTATTTTTCTTTTTCTTTCTCTTGGGATACGCAAGAAGGCAAAAGTCATTTCCCTTTTCTTTCTTTATTGCTGCGCAACTAACTCCAAGGAGCACAAAATAAAATAAACTAAAGTTAAATTAATAATAATTATAAACTAATGACACAACTTAATAAAACCAAGTAATAAAATACTATAGCTAAAATAAAATACTATTTATATCCATAAAAATGCAACATTAATCTAATACTTATTAAAACCAATCTAAACTAGTAACATACATATAAATGTAATATCTATAATAAAATTGACCCTAAAACTTAATTTATTTATGCAATTCACTAATTAAAATTACTCTAAATAATGCCTAGAAATTAAGCTTATCAAACTTCCCCACACTCAAGGTTTTGCTTGTCCCCAAGCAAACTTATGCAATGAAATCAAACTTCCAACCATAACCATGTCAACTAGGCATTCAATTCAAGGGGATGGTAAGCACATAATACTTCATGAGAGTTCAAAGTTATATGCACACAAGACAATAGAGAATAGTAGTCCTCACGGTTGTTCACTCAATCTCTCATAAATATATACGAAAGGTACACACTATCCTCTATTGAGAGTGCACTTGCCATAGGCTTGCTTGTCCACCAAAACTCCGCTACCAAAATTATATGAAGAACACGAGTGAAAAGGTCTTTATTTCTGGGTTGTAATGGGGCCAAAGGTATGTGATTTATGAAAGAAAGGATATAAGGAAATACAAAGAAAGTCCAAGGAATCAGTAGAGCCATAATTCCACCATATCTAGAGCAAGAACTTGTAAACCAATACAATGAACTCTACCAAAACAAACCATCATTTCTACTTCATTCTCCCTCATCCTTTTCACTGATAAACAACTTCCAAAACCTCCATCTCTTTTTCATCTTTTTTCCATTTCTTTTGTTTTTTTTTTTTCTGTTTTTTCATTTGAACTGAATAAATTGCTTTCCATTTCCACACAACCCTCAATGGTACTCTTCCCATAATCATCAAATTTCTTTCATGCCCTCATTGCTCACAAATCATTTTAAGAATAAAATGAGCACAAAAGTTTGGGCTAACAAGATTTTCAACCCACAATTTAGAACATATCATTTTGTTCTTTTTTTCCATTTTCATCTCTTTTGTTCACAAACAATTCCTCACCCAAGCAAACCAGCGATACAATCACCTTTCAACTCCAATCTCACCCATACTTCATCATTTTTGGTCATCTTGCACAGATAAATGAAATAATGACATCCACTGACCCAAAGACGGGTTAAGAGGCTTCTTTTTATGAGTAAAGGTTCTTTGGAACTGGCTAATGAAGAAAAATGTCTTATATATTTATTATAAAGCTCAAAATGGTTCACTAGGGGAAAAATAACATGTATTAGAATGTGGTCATTTTTAAGGCTATAAGGCTAAATCCTAATGCCTAAATCATTCTCGTGTCATCACATAACATGTAGCTCTGAAATGGTATAAAGCAAGTTCTAGAAGTAACACAATCAAAGAAGGCAATAAACACTCAAAATGAAAATAAGTTGCAGTGGGCAACCTCTAGGCTCAAAAGCTCATGGTGTGACAGAATTTGACTACCAACTCTATGGAAGCATACATATAGCCAAACACATTCATTGATATTATGCACTCCCAAAACACTAGAAATTATCTCCCAATCAACATAGTCTTTAGAAGGCATTTTTTTAACTTTATTTTGCTGAAAAATTGCAGAAAAATGAAAGAAATGACGCTGAAAATCCCATAAAATGCAAAAAATTAGTGCAGAAAATGTAGAAAGAAAAATGCAGAATTTTACTGTAGCAAAGTGCAGAAAAATAGAAAAAAAAATGCAGAAAATGTTGTAGAAAATTGCAGGAAAAATGCAGAATTTTTTTTTTGATATTGCCTATTTTGCATAAAACTTGCAGAAAACATCCCCTAATCTTACTTTCCCTTCCCCACACTCAAACTCAACATTGTCCTCAATGTTAAATATAAAAGCAAGTATGAGAAAATGAAATAAAAGGGAAACTTCCCTGTTAATTGCCAGTTTCTTCCAGGGCTGCCTTTTGGTGAAGAAACCATGAATGGTCTTTTTTTTCTTTCTTTCAATCTCTATGGCCTCATACGAACAAACTTTAGTCACCATGAAAGGGAAAAACCGTCTAGACTTCAATTTCCCTAGAAAAAGCTTAAAACAAGAATTAAACAACAAAACTTCTTGCCCTACATTGAATTCTCTCCAAAAATTATTTTTGTCATGCCATGCTTTAGTCAATGTTCTCCACAATCTCTCTTCTTTTGCATTAAGTAAATGAGCATAAGAAAGCATAAGAAAAAGATCATTGTCACTCAAAAAATTGTATTTGAACTGCAATGGAAGTGGTTTAAGTTCAAGTTGATGTGGTGTTTCGCTAGGCGAATGCTTAACAAATACTTCTTCTGAAGGTTTCTCAACAACATCAACAAAAAGACATGATTCATCAAAAGTAGGCAATTTTATAGCTTTAGGAGATAGAGAATTCTTCTTTTTCTGTTCCTACTCTAAAAATCAGTTTCCCTAAAGGCATATCAATTATTACTCCTCCTGTAAACAAAAAATGGCCTACCAAGTATAAGAGATGTATCTGTATCACTACCCATATCAAGAATCAGAAAATCAGCAGGAAAATAAAATTTACCAACTTTTACCAAGATATCCTCCACTACTCCAAGCGGGTACTTGATTGATCTATCGGCAAGTTGAAGGGAGATTGTTGTTGGCTTCATTTCAGCTATTTCCAACTTCTTAAAAAGAGTTAAAGGCATAAGGTTAATACTGGCACCTAGATCACATAAGCATTTATCAATAACAGTATTACCAATAGTGCAAGGAATAGAAAAACTTCCAGGATCCATTAACTTAGGAGGTAATTTGCTTTGTAGAATAGCACTACACTCCTCATTTAGATGCACAGTAGCAAACTCTTCCAATTTCTTTTTATTAGACACAATTTCCTTAATATACTTGGCATAAGATGGCATATTGGCAAGTGCTTCTGCAAAAGGAATATTAATTTGCAATTTTTTAAAAACCTCTAAAAATCTTTTAAAGTTATTGTCCTGGTTCCTCTTTTGTAACCTTTGTGGATATGGAATGGGGGGTACATAAAGTTTTACTGTAGAGAAAGTAAGGTTTTGATTACTAGAATTCTCTTTAGGCACTTGCTCCTCTTCTTCTTTATCACTCTCTTTATCACTCATGGGTTCTTTCTCTTTCAAGACTTCATTCAAAATCTTACCACTTCTTAAGGTGACAGCCATAGCTCCTTCCCTAGGGTTTATTTCAGTGTTACTAGGAAACTTACCTCGATCTTTTTCTGCAACCAATTTAGCCAACTGACCTACTTGCACTTCTAAATTATGAATGGATGCTTGGTTAGACTGTGTAACCTTATCAATCTTTGCATCCATTTTCTTCATCATCGTGTCCTGGCTAGCCATGTATTGCATAAACATCTCCTCCAATTGAGGCTTTTTCTCCTGAGCAGGAAGTTGAGACTGTTGTGGTGCAGGTGGCTGCTGGAAAAGTCTGTATTGCTGCTGCTGGAATCCTGATGGTCCTTGTTGCTGGAATCCGGGTGGTCCCATTGGTCTTGCATTACCTTGATCTCTCCATGAGAAGTTAGGGTGATTTTGCCAACGTGGATTATATGTATTAGAAAATGGATCATTTCTTGGTTGTTGCCTACCCATGTTGGATCCCATTTAATTAGCTTCCTCATAAGATGGTTGTGATGACTCTGCATTCATACAAACAGAAGAATTATGACCATATGTATTGCAAAAAGCACAAAATTCTCTATTCGAACTATCACAAGTCATCAATAAGTTCATCTGTTTAGTCAATTCAGCCACTTGTGTTGTCAACTCAGATTGTGTGCTAATTTCATGCACAGCAGCTCTTCGACATCTCACTGCCTTTTGTCGAGAATTAGTAGCTAAGCTCTCATAGATAGCTTCTAATTCATTGCTATTTTTATCACCTGTGTATCCACCTGCAGCAGTATCTACAAGAGACTGACAATTAGGAGTTAAACCATCATAAAAGAATTGTGTCAACAATAACAATGGGAATTGATGGTGTGGACATTGTGTCAAAAGCAATTTAAAACGATCCCATGCTTCATGAAATAACTCAGCCTCTCTTTGAGTGAAAGTGCATATCCTACTCCTATAGTCCATTGTCTTTTGAGATGAATAATATTTAAACATGAAAGCATTGTAAACATCATCCCAAGTTCTTAAAGAACCCTTTGGTAAATTTAACAACCACTGCCTAGCATCACCCCTCATGCAATATGGGAAACATTTCATTCTAAGCTCTTCTTCAGATAAATTATTTAAAGGTAAAGTTTGTACCGTACTATAGAGCTCACGCATGAAACCCAAAGCATCTTCACTTCCCAAACCGTTAAAGGTCGGGAGCATATTCAGATGGAAAGTCTTGAGCTCATAATTTCTAGTTGCATCAGATAATTGAATGCAAGAAGGGTTAATAGTTATTACCGGTCTTTGGATGTCACGAAGACGTGGTTGATCTACTTGATTTTGAGGAAGTGGAACTATTGGTGGTACGGGGTCATCCAGTTGACCCACTCTATTATTTTCAGCCATTTCAAGCCGCCTTCGTACCTTGTTTTTTCTGCAAGTACGCTCAATTTCAAGATCAATAGGAAATAATTCCGCGTTTTTATGCCTTAGTGAACGCCTTAAGTTCATAAACAGAATAAATTAAAAATAGGAAAAACAAAAACTTAGTAAAAAAAATAAGAATAAAATAATAACGAACCTAACAACCTAAATAAATCAGAAAAGAAAAACTTAAAGAAAACAGCTTAATAAAGTGGTCCCCGGCAACGGCGCCAAAAACTTGATTGCTATAATCTGCATGTGCACAGAGTCAATCACAGTATAAATTCCTGGAGTATTCCAGGGTCGATCCCACGAAGAACACTATTAACTGTTATCTTTAATAATCGAATTGTTGATAAGGAAAATCTCAAATAAATAGAATTAATGTGATTAAAAAGAATATTTATGAATTTAATGCAAAGAAAATTCCAATTGAGAGAAAACTAGGGATTTGGGATTCACCTATTAGATAATTAACTAACTCTCCTAAATATTAATTCTTGTAATTATAGTGATGATTGCTCCAATTATACCCTAATACTCCGTCGAGCTACTAGGTTGTATCCAATTAACTGTGATCATCCGTCGATATCTCACCAACATTAATTGAACCCATTAAGCAACAATCAAATCTCACCACAAATACCTAAAGCTATGTCTAGTCTAGGTCAATTGTGTTTATCTTACGAGATCTAGGTTCATAATTCACCTGTCAGTTCTTCTGATATTAGAATTATGCAATGGCCAGTCACACAATCCACAAATAACATACATAAAATAAATATAATCAAGTTCAATCATTAAACTGAAATTGGAAGAATTAACACATGAAAAATAGTCAATTAATCTAATCTAGGCTAATTCAAATTCCTAATTAAAGTTCTAGCCAAGAATCATAGTTAAATGCATAAATTGTTCAACAGATAATACTCTGGAAATTTTAACAAGAATAAGAATAGATACGGAAGAAAGTAATTCAAGCCTAGAGAAGCGATAGCCGCAATTGAAGCACAGAAATCTCCTGCGATGAAGTCTCGAATGTCTTCTGCCTCCTTTCCTCGGCGAAGACCCCTACTGCTTCTCTCCAAGCTTTTGTTTTTTTCCTTCGCCCTCTTTTTTCTTTCTGCTCCCGTCTGCCACCGTACGCACCCCAAACCTAAAACTATTTATAAAGGGTTCTTTTTCCCTTATTTTTCTTTTTCTTTCTCTTGGGATACGCAAGAAGGCAAAACTCATTTCCCTTTTCTTTCTTTATTGCTGCGCAACTAACTCCAAGGAACACAAAATAAAATAAACTAAAGTTAAATTAATAATAATTATAAACTAATGACACAACTTAATAAAACCAAGTAATAAAATACTATAGCTAAAATAAAATACTATTTATATCCATAAAAATACAACATTAATCTAATACTTATTAAAACCAATCTAAACTAGTAACATACATATAAATGTAATATCTATAATAAAATTGACCCTAAAACTTAATTTATTTATGCAATTCACTAACTAAAATTACTCTAAATAATGCCTAGAAATTAAGCTTATCACACCTCTTATGTTTTGTGGCCTGTGAGCCAATCTAGACGAAGTACTCTGTTGGATGGTTGTAGATTTTAAACAATGCAGATTTAGCCTGTGCGTTCACCCTTGGGTGAGCATGGCATAGCACCCCGTTTCCTTTGTTTTATATATTTCCTCTTTCAGTCTTCCGCAGTGTTTGGTGTTTTGGTTTAAGATATCTGCATGTTTTAAGGCTTTAAATAGCATGGTTTTAGGGAGTGTTACACAAATAGTTCCACAAAAGAACAACGAGAAGTCCAAAGACCAAATACCGAGTCAAAAGAAACACGGGGAACAAATCTCCACCAACAACCATGATGTTCCCCGCGGGTGGACCCACGGGTAGACCCCCACCAGTGGTTCCGCCCGCGGGTACACACCCACCGGCCTTATGTTCCCCGCGGGTGGGCGGCGGGTAGGCCACTGCCCGCCGTTCCGCCCGCGGATACACTACCCTATACCAAAACATCCCTTCGGGGATTTTCAACACCAAGCTGAAATTCAAGTCCAAAACATGCCAAATCTCACCAAATACAACAAAATGACTTGAATCAAAGGAATAGCCAAGCAATGGCATACAAGAACCCTAAACACAAGCTCTAGATATGCATTTTCACAAGACAATGCATAAACACTCACATTTCATAGCAAAACCACTTGTAGAATCCAATAAATCATCATATAGGTAAGCAAAATAGATTTTGTATAGCATAGGTTACCTCTTGTAGACAAAAACCTTCACCTAACACTTCACCAAGCTCCTAATAAGGCTCACCTTACAAACCCACTTCAAGAACACACCAAAAGATCATAAAGATTCTATCTTTAAGAAAAGACACCTTAGAGAACACTAAAAACACAAGATGAACATAGATCTTACCCTCCTAGATGCTCAAAGGTATGAAAGGTAGAATCTTGGAGACAACCTTTGAGGATTTGACAAAGCTCCAACTTGGCTTGGAAGAAAAGCTATCTAAATTTTAGAGAGAAGGTAGAGCTCAAATTTGGGAAGTGTAAGGAGCAAGAATGAGGTGTGTCTACTAGGTTAGCTTGCATTACTAAGACAAGGTGAAATTTCATTAATACCCTTACTAAAATGAAGAGGTGTAAGGGAACAAGGGAACTCCTCGCAAAGCTTAAGGTACAACCTTGACTTTGGGGTTGACTAGTCAATTACTAGTCCTCGACTATTGAATTTTCAGGAATTTTAAGGAATTAAATTACCAATTGGTTTAGGATTGATTACTTAATTAATCCCATAATTTAATTTGGATTACGGGGTGTCACATCCTCTCTCCCTTCAAAGAAGCTTCGTCCCCGAAGCTTGGGTACGACGAATTAAGCAAACGGTGAAACGAAACGATTTTGTGACATGAGTGCCAAGAATAATCTCTTTTGGTCAAACCCAAAGGATTCACAAGACATCAACGCAAGTAAGGAAGTACATCAACATTAAGATTGAAAGAATGAAACCAACGGGGTAATGAGCATGTCAAACTCCAAACCAAACACAACTGCCAACTTCTAATCAACAACTAAGGACTAAAAAACTAGCTCAAAGCACACACCAACAAAGCTAACTACTCGACTAACCAAACAAGAAAGAACAAGCACGCAAGGCAAGCAACAAGCAACTAACAAACGGTAACACCAACTAAGGAGATAACCACAACTAAGGAAAGGCGAACGGGATTACCACAACTCCGAGCTAGAACGACTCACTCTCCGACTCATCGGTGCCCTCCTCGGATTCTTCGTCATCCTCTCCCCTCTACGAATTGAACTGGCCTCAATCTAATCTAGCCTTTGGTGCACGGCAACAAACTGCGTCTTCATGAAAGCGAAGCCTTCTTCGATCATTCGGTTCTGTTGACGAAGCAAGGTCACTACACGTTCCTCATGCGTCATGGAATCATGCTCCCTATTGGTGCGGGCTTCCCTTTTTCTTTGGTTTTCTTCACTTTCAGAATCACTTTCTTCGACCTCGGGAGCTTCCGGTGCTTCCACTTCTTCTTCGTGACGTGCTTCACCCTCATCTTCTTCATGCCAACTCAGCTCTTTCTTCAGGGGATTTCCTTGCAACTTCTTCGAGAGTGATGTAATCACCATCGTCCAACTGAAACAAGTAGCAACTTCGAAGATTGGTGGCATCCAACACCAACTTTCCCACGGCCTTCGGTTTACAACCATCAACACTTACCCCTTTTCTGACAAGAATCCAACTCAACACCATCCCATATAGTAGGCTCTTTCGGTTGTGATCACGGCAGAAAACCATGTGTTGCAACATCAAAGCCGGCAGATTGAACTTGACCATATTCTTGACACCAAAAGCAAAGGTGCACTCCAACTTTCCCAACAACCGACTTTTGTTGTTATTGGGCAACAAACAATCTGTCACCAGCATAACCAAGATCCTTTGCTCCGCGGACAACCACTTTTTCTCCGGACATGAAGCTTGAGTGAAACCACTCGTGCGAACCAATAAGTAACTC